CACCAAGTCTCTTTTTTAATGCAATTTCCTAGGTTCGTCATCAGGATTTGGTTGTTCTGGAAGCATAACGAATTTTCCGTGCAGTGTTTTTGCACTGGCTACTTTGGGACTCACAGGTATTTCATCGAAGGATATTCGGCCTTAGCCATTTCCTTTGAGACGTGGCATGTTTCCATTTGATTTTTTTTTTTTGTGAGTAATTGTAGTGACATCCTCAACATGGCGACGAGCCCTAAATATCAAAATACAGCAAACTGAAAGTGAGCCTCAAGCTTTTCGCTACCAGTGTCATTTGAGCGGCACGTCACATTGCAGTGGCCATTATTATGAAAAATTCATTGAAGACAAACTGCGCGATAGTATATTGTGGTGCGTGACGTTCAATATCGAACCTATCGTCGCTAAATGAATCATCAGGGAAGAAAAAAGCAAATATATCGGGTGGCTCTATAAGGACCCGCTGGCAGCTTCACTGTATGAGTTCTCCCGCCCTCGTGGTTTTATGCCAGCAAAGCGACATTCTACCGCCTCTGGCTCACTATCAATTTCTTCGCCACCCACTGCCGACACCATCTAAGAAAGAAAAAATTCAAAAACACGTTGTAAAAATTTAACTCCTTGCAGAAAGGCTCTGAGGGCGCAGTTCGGTGACGGGGAGGGGGAGGCATTTCGGACTTTGGCTGCTTCACTAGTTCGGATCACGAGTCTTCACACTGGTGATACTTGCAAACTCAGCGCAGTTGGAGCGAAATCGTAGATCACCACTTAAAACCTGTCAATTCCTGCTAGCTCATAAAATAACTCTCGATATCGGTTGACACGTCGATGGGAAGTAGCAAAAGTGCCCAATGTCTCACTGTCTCCGAACTGCCCCGCCTCAAAGGCGGGGCAACTAGGGAGGCGTCAAAATCGTCATTTATGAGGGCCGCAGTGCCTTTGTTACTCCCTGTGAATTGCGGAATTGGGACAGTCTTAGAGTTTGAATGCCAGACTACCTGGATATCGAAGGACGCTTACGAATTGCCTGTGCTTGGGGACTATCCTCATGAGATAACGAGATGATATAATGCGACTTCAGTGGCGTACCTGTGAGCAACTGATCCGCTAATCGTTACCTCCAGGTTCAAGTTCTCGCTGGCCGACACATTCCGGACCGCTGTATTGCGAGAATCTCCGCATAATTTAGTTTCTTCTCAAACCGATGATCAGCTATTTCACCTGTTTCTTTCACTTTCCTATAGGATATGTGTATTCTGTGCCTAAAATCGTGTTCTGATAACTTTGGAGCATGAACAAGATGCCAAATAAACCGTATGAAACGGCGCGGAGAAAAAAGTATGACACACCGTGTGTGTCACGCGGTCCGAAACGTATTGAACACTCCCAGTACAACCTTTGCACACGTACCGTTCTCCGTTCTCTCTCTATCGAGAAGGAATTTCAGAAGGGCTGTCATTGCTTGGAAGGTTGGTTGGTTCATCAGTTGGCCACTAAAGGAAACAAAATCTACGGTTGAAACACTAAAACACCCCGTGATGGCAGCTAGAAAACATACACAGATCGGTACCTTCGAATTCTCTGAGGCACGCCTGAAGAAGAAAACCAGTAGCAAGTCACCAAAGTTCACAAGGAATAGAAAGCGAAAGTGAACCAGATACAATATGAGTGGAACCCCAGCAGCAATTTCTTCGTGTTTTCTATGCAGCCAGAACCGCGTGGTCACTCGGGTGTTATATCCGTATCGACTTTTTGCATACCGCGTCACGAAAAGACAGCACAGCTGACAATGAGTGAAGTTATCTTGTAAGATTCAACTTCCATTCAATCAAATAGGTCATATCTACAACACGGACAGAACGGAGTGAAGCGGTCAAAATTTGGCGAAGAAAAAGCCCCGTTCTCAGTGACTTGAAAATCGGTTTCGGACGAGTTTCCCGCACTCGTCTTGCCAACCGCTACCGAAGATAAGCATCGTGGCCGCCTCATACCAATCCCTTCGCTTCATAATTTGCTTAGCAAATGAATGAAAACGAGCAAGAACGGTCGATCTCTTTATGGCGGCGACAGGAAGGCGTATTGGGACGAATGTTGATGCTGCGATAGGGGCGTTATACGAAGTACCTCCATTGAAGGCGCCACGGAGCGCCTGTTCGAGGTCACGGAATTCTGTTAAGCCAGTCGGATAAATCCTACATCTGTATTGCGATTTATCGTGCCAACTGCCTTTTGAGTATACCTTCTCACTCACAGGTCAGTACTTCCGCTGGCCGACTCGAGGGCTGTATCTTTCGCCAAGGAAATTTTTTGGGAGGGTCGATAAGAGCTACCCCCACCCCAGTTCTCTATTGCTCGTGCTCTCCAACACGGGGTCAACGTCTTTTTGAGAATCCCGAACATTTTCGATTAAACAGGAGATCATGAAATATTGAAGACAGGTTCCGCGATCAGCTAGTGTGAGACGTCCTCTATACGCGGCAGTCTAATTTCGCAACTCCAAAAAGTTATCTCACTTCGCGGGCTCTGGAAATGCGTGATGAAGGACACTAGGTGTCATGATGAGTCTGTATGAACACTTGTCTGAAGCTAATGTTTCGGGAAAGGATACAGCATCGTGATGTGTTAAATGGTGGCATCATTACGACCTACCCCCACCTAGAGAGGGTCTCGGTGCGACCCTGTCCCCTTCCCCATCACCTACCTATCACTCCCCTACAAGTTTCCCTGCTCCCTACCAGTTTTTCAAACCAAGCCAAAAATTTTTCCGTAATAAGGGAGTGGGGCGGGGAGCGTTGATAAGCACATGCCCAGAGGAAAAACCGCGAAAAGTCGACACGACTCGAAAAAGGTTTCCCCACGTGGTCATTTCTCCATCCAAAGCACTACCCTTCTCCCAGCTATACAAGCAACGCGAATACGACCATCCGTTCCCCAGCGGCCAGGTACGACCCTCCCCCATGTGTTCCACATAACGATGCTTTTGCCTTCTTTTGGGAAGCTCCAATACTAACTCTTTCCATTCCGAGAGGTAAAACTAGGTAAGGAAAATTGTTGTTCTTCCCATTCCGAGGGGTGAAACAAAGTAATTAAGTACGAAAAATGGACTGCTATCCTCATGGTAGCACAAGTAACATTTCGTCAAAGCACGCCCGAAAAAAAAAAAAGACCCTCCGCCCCCAATTTTTACTGCATGTCCATGAAGATCGCGCTGGCACGAAGCCCTATCCGGGATTGTCCATCTGTTTCTTTGCTCTTTCTTCAACTCATTAGTTTCTAATCACCTTGTTACTTGGTTGAGGCCCCCTACCCACGAAACAGTAAGTGATTCGCAACGCCTAGTTTACATGAGAAGTGACGTGACATGGGTTAGACATGGAGACTGCTATGACAGAGAGAATAAAGACCGTACATGCACTTCCTCGCAAGACATTCATCGGGAGTCGAAGGGTCCTCTTACGTCGTGAACGCTATCCATTATGTTGGCCATTAATAAGCTGTACGCTTAAGAGCCAAACAATGCGATTTGACTCCTCCCTAAAATTCGCTTTATCAAGAACAAGATTTTCTAAAACGGCTACTTGCTAGGTTATCCTTTGCTTTTATAGTTTATTTTACCAACTGCCTTATACGGCTTTCAACGTGCACATGCGGTTTTGTGGCGTTTCTTGCCGGAGTGCTGATCCACCACTGGTACTGGTTACATGGCGTTAAACTAACACGAAAAGAGGTAAGACATATCTTCTATGGAACAGTCGACGTCGCATGTGATTCAGCTGTGATGCCTCAGTTGGGCTTTATACGCGCACCTTTAGATGATATTCTTTGATGAAACAAATCTACTCGAAACCTCCAACGTTTTTGAATATACGTCTGTACCAATTACGGAGGGTACCACACCCATCTCTGGTAGGTGACATTCACATAGTTCATATCGCATTCCGGTGGGCGGCGTCAAGATGCATTTCCTACCAGATGTCCGCTCAGTAGAGAGGCAATGCCACGGTAAGAAATGCCTTGTGGACTTTGACACCGCCTACGCAGATTCGAATTATTAAATTGTATCTGAATATGAAGTCGTAGACTGCAGAAGCCTACTATGGAGAACTTTTTATTGGTCCTGACGTTTTTCCTGATGCACGTATCAAATTTGGGCAAGGCCGCCTGTTCTGTTGACTGACAAGCATTGCAGATGGCAAAAGGTTAGGCATTCCGTAATGCCGCTAAATCTCATCACTAATTCTGAAATCACCTCGCTTGAAGAGAAACCCTACAATCGTGTATTGTGGATAGTAGTGTTCAATTATTAGATTCATAAAAAAGATTTTATAGGGTTTTTTGAAAGTTCCAGAATTTTCGATTCTTGATACCAGTTACCTACTTACCAATGATCCACCATGTGGTGGTGGTAAAACATTCTAGAAAAATATCTCCGTAATGGGTATATATAGCCGTTTCTGCTTTTGAGCTAAATCATGATGTCAATTCCAGAGCCGATGTTGATAATACTCGATCGTCTACGTGTGGGCGCACCGGAGCGAGCGGCAACCGTTCGCTGGAACACGCAACAGGCGTATGGGAGGAGACACCACTTCCATCGCTACGGTCCATCGTTGGTTCGCTCGCTTCAAGGAAAGAGACACGGACTTCGAAGGTAAGCCTCGGTCGGGACGCTCCCTCGCCGTTGACGACTCCGTCGTTCTCGACGCCGACCCTGCATTTTGCAGCATAATGCGGCACATTGTCAGTGGCAAAGCCCGTGTCACTATGGTGATTGTTGCGGCAATGTGGCGCTTCTTCGGTCCCAGCGCCCCGAATTCTGGAACGTAGAGCCCGACCGAAGCTGCCTGAACGTTGGCGTCGTGTGTGGATAGTGATGGTGCATACCTCTAACCTTCAGGCTGGTTCGCTATTGAGATATTCACAAAAAAGTCGGGGGAAAGAACTTATGCACCAACCTAGTAGATCGAGCATGTTGTATACTTGATGTAACTGATCTTCTTGCCCTGCTGAGCCGCAAATTCGGAAGAATTTTCGAAAATCAGAGTTGAAGCTCCTATACGGAGCGAAGCAAAAATTTTTGCGCCAACCGGATGCAAACCCGCATGCGTTTGACTTGAAAGCGAGACCACCAGAGGCCACGGTGGCACTGCCGAGGCATCGATCAGCAGCGCTTAGAGCAGAACCCAAAATTTGACCACCCAGATCTCGTCTGGGAGGTCCCGTAGCACTTTTAATCTGCATATTCGTAATCAGCATTCGAGGCTCTATCGATGTACCTAGGTCTCCATTCAAAGTTCCATGGGAAGTTCAAACCATTCCCTTGAGATTATCCCAAGCTTAGTTGGTAACAAGCTCATCCAGGAGGGAGCACACATATTGTTCATTCGGTACCGCAGTTACATAGACCAAATCAAAATTAGGGAACCCTGTCGAAACTACAAAACAAGATTTTTTATGATAGTTTGTGGAAAAAAGATCGGTGAAAATAATAACGTTTTGCTTCAGTTCTACAAAGAACATTATGGCCCTGTATGGGAAACTGCAAGAAGGAGAGAACAAGAATGGAAAGCAATACATTCAGCGGTTAGCAGCTTCACTTTTATTCACTACATTGGTCACCCACAAGCAGCGAGTTCAACAAGCAGGTCTCTGACCCCACAGTGGGCTCTCATTGGTATTTCGCTATCTAAAAGCAACCCTCCCCCAAGCTCAGCATGCGCGCTGCTTTCAAAACTCAGGCATCATTCTCTATTCATCATGATGCATTTCCTCGTGATTCAGATGCTTTCTTTCAGAGAACAGCGAACGGTAATGCGAACAATAATCATAAATAACAATAACTCTAAGCAATACGTTTTTACCATTTGAATGTGGATCATTAACGTCACACTCCACGCTCACATAATTTATTGAATTTCTGAGATATACTCGTCACTTGATAAATATCTTGATCTTGATCATTTTTGAACAAACTGTTGTGCGTTGTGAAGAATACTACATTTCGGTTCATAGAGCATGGCTATACTTCAAATCCCTGAGATGGGGTAGGCGTGGCTGCCCTCTTCAACCGAGCGTGGGCGGTGCTTACGCTTGATGAGTGTTTGCCATTTTAACACTAATCTGGGGTCATCTCTCCATCGGAACAGCAGAACAAGAAGAGCAGTTGTATCAAGACGTCAAATTTTCCGGAGTAACCCATTCTGTATAATGCTCAAATGCACGCCTTACTCCGTTCTCAGGATAAGGATTGTATTGTAGCGGGTGCAACTCCACGGGCATTCTTGCTTATTTTATCTTTGGCGTGTTTTTTGTTTGCTGCTGTCTCTAAGAATGGTGGTTATTCAATGAGAGTTGCTTGGAAACCAATCAAGAGATTGGTACATTGGTTGATATTCAAGGATATGAAAATAAGACTAACAAGGCAGCGTTCAGAGTTTGCGACAGCGCCCGTCGATGTGCTACAATTGCAGGAGCGCTCCATCTTATAAACACAAACATCAGCGCAAGACGGGATATCGATCGGTACCTTTTGCGTAGCAAAAGAGAGGATGGAGAGCTGGATTGATGACGCTCTTTAAGGTACATGGGTCTGTTATCGCTACGACTGGCCAGACAGCTCTCGATCAGTTTTCCATCTGCGCTGCGTTTGCGTCTATGTGAACGAAGCGCTGCTGCAATACTCGTATGCGGTGCAGCGTTCATCAGCGTAGGTCTGAGCGCTGCTTAGTAGCCAGCTGTTTGTTCAGTATTGAGTGCGCACTGTCGTGTGCAACTCCGCTTGAATACCAATAAACGCGCCTTACACCCCAGGAAATAGGGTATGCGTGAGCTTTTCAAGGCACACTCTACGACTGAGAAAATCTTTCCACGATCAACGGCGCCTGACCGGAAAGCGTACTTATTTTTTCGTTGTTGAATAAATTGCAATTCGACACTAGGCAGGAGATTTTGCGTGTCGCGTAAATGTCGACGGCAGCTTGGAACATGAGCTCCTTCCGTGATCGCTTCGCCTTTCTGAAGTCTACGAGTTACGACAATGGCGGCATTTTCAATAGCTTGCCATCTTCCAGACAATGGCGGGAATAGTCCCTATGCTGCTGGAAGCTCACCGTTTCGCACAGATTGGCCTATCGTGGACCATCTCGTTAGAGGATGAAGAAGTAGACTTATGACGGTCAGTACAGGCACCCCAAAACGCTCAACGATCGACGGTGACGAGATCGGACGGGGTTGTAACTTGTGTTAGTAATATTGGGCCTCACGAGGTGTGTTGTTTTCGCCCTCACTCTAAATGGAGTGAGGTTCAGTTTACGAGAGTTTGCGAAGAAGAAGTATGTACGACAATAAAGAAGCTATGCTACCCGTTGTGGGATACAAGCTTCACAATATGGTAGGTGGAACTTTTATTGAAGCGGTCTATCGTTTCGGATTCGTCGTCATCGGAGGCTTAGAAGTAGTGCGAAGTCCAGATTTATGCTCTACACCACCATGCGCTTCACCTTCTCTAGCGCTAACGACGTTCCGACGGGAACCTCGAAGAGAACCCGAAGCAATTCAGAAAACAAACTCACTTAGGGTTTCTTTTTTATGTCGGAGAAATCCGCTACTATTTTTGAGCGTTAGCAGATGACAAGTGATGCATACTGTGCTGTCTCCTAATATTAGCAAAATGAAGGAGATGCTCGCAACGCTCTTTGATGCTCTACAGCTCGCAGTGCGGTATGATCAAACCAACCAGAGAAGGGATACTGATTGAGTGCTCGCAGATTGAAAAGCTGAAAAGTATCGATCGTGAAAATCTCTCGCAGATGTTATTGCTTCTTCTGTATCTCATGTACTTTTCTTAGATTCTCCTCACCTGTCAGGACCTATCTTCCTGCTTTTAATAACTGCTAATGAAATTTGTTCCCTTGCGATTCATTCTGTTGAGACCTTCCTCGAGCCCTAAAAACTTCTCCAGTTCCCAGATGTCTCCTGCTTGTTCACGTGAGTCCTTGAGTTTCCTACTTTGCGGATCCTGCATTCTTTCTGAGTGTCAGTTCTCAACAGAGTATGTGCTGAAAGCATCAGACCAGACGCTAGCAAGCCAGTATGTAACGAAAAGGTTCCATACTTGAGCTATACTCTAGAATAAGTGAATAAGGGAAAGATTAGTGCACTTCAATGGTACTTCCTACCTTTGGTACTTCCTCCATAAAACAAGCTGTTCATCAATTTCTACAGCAGAAATTAGCGGGGAAAGTTGAGTGAATAACTCCGTTTCTATTTGCGTTGTCCAAATATCTGTTCCTCTTTTTTCTCCGGTGGATAGTGACCACTTTCAACTGAGTGATACTGACGTGATTGAACCCCCGCTGCTGCAGTTGCCACATCCCTACGCTGTTTTTTGTCCTGATCTGAAATTTCTATGTAGGTTTATGGATGCAAACCAGTTCATAGTAACCATGGAGCATTTTCGGTTGACATACTCCTCAACAAAACGATTCGATGCCTCTATCTATTCCTTTCTTCTGAGATCGATGTTTTGAAAGATTTAGGTCCTTAGCGAGCAGCTGACCATGTGGCCGTCGTAGTCGGAGTTCAACGGCAAGTGCCTTTTGCCTCCAATTAGATAAACCTGTTTGGGAGTGCTCCCAATAGCGGCTCATACTCATCCACGCTCGTCCCAAGGAGCGACCTTCATAACAGGATTTCAGTATATAACAACGCCTTTGCCTTCTGCCCTTTAGTTCTTGACCGAGGCAGTTAGCCTCAAGGACCTTCTGGGGAAATATATGGCGCGCAGTCAGACTGGAGGGAAGAAGCCGTGAAATCCACTATTCCACTCAAATCCAAGATTTTGAGTGGAATAGTGGATTGGCGCTGGCTGCGATTTGCAGCACGAATGTGATGGTATCAACTGTCCAAATCGAACATTGTCACAAACTCATGACCTTGGTAAGGAGTACTGGACTCCTGCCAAGTCATCCAACTTCACATGCCCTTTTGCCAAGTATCTATTGAGAGCAGAAAGACCCAGGACCAGTCCCGAAAATCCCAAGTTCTCACTGTAAAACTTTATGGATTTGTGACTCCGTTCATTGTGGTATCGAGAGTCAAAGCATTCAGCTCGTGAGCCACCCACATAGAGATGTGATTGTAAATAAAAGTTGGGTAGCCCCTTCTACCTTCTGGGACGGTAAATTGGTACCAGATTCGTCTGGGAGGATAAAACACTGACTTGTACATCGGCTGGCCCCCGCAAGTCATTGTATAGGCCACATCGCATTCAGTAAGCCACTACGATTCTGAATGGAAGTATTAGGTTGTCCGGAAAGGAATGCGCGTTCGAGCTTAAAAAAATTTTTTGTTATAAAAAACAAAAATTAAACAAGATAAA